ACGTGGAGAATTATGTAACTGTTCTTTTAAATGCATAAATAACCTGCTCGATGGGGCTATCGCCACGAATACTTAGCTAAAAAGGTAAAACTGATCAAGCTCAAATGGGCTTCAGGTGGTCTTCGCTTAGCATTACCTATAGGTCGAGCCTGGACGAAGAACTGACTGCAAGATTGAATTTTTTGTCCCAATACGGAAATTAATGGCAGACTCCTGAAGTGCTCGTAATGTGCTACACCTCCTGATTTGCTGTGTTGTGTGTACCAGTTAAGACTTTTTGATGTTTTTGTAGAATTCCAGCAATATAAAAGTTAAAATCAGATATGGACTTGCTCGGAGGACAAAACACGACCATCTTGGTCAGTCTTCAATTAGATCTTTGGTAAAAATAAGGTTGGTTTACAACCTTAGATACCCGTAGTCCCTAGTCCTATGGTTACTTTAGTTTCAGTCTACTTTATTTTTTAGTTTAGTTAAATGCCATCAAAGTTAAATAAATATACTTAAATTACTAATATATACTAAACTAAGATAAGTGAACCAAGCATAACTTAACAGAACTGACCAATCTAAAAAATAAACAACACTAAGTCTAAAATTAAACTATACTACTACCACCGGTCCTGCAAGACAGCGTTCTGGGACCAACTTTATTATTTCCGAATTTTCTTCCAATATTTAGTCAATAATATGTCTAATTAAAAGCTGTAGTAGTGCTACTGCCATTGTAACGGACTATCAAGTTGTATTTAGATAGTCTACCGACATGAGGACCTATTAGAGCTTACTTTATGGCTAGCATTCCTATTAATTAGCAATATTTACGTGGGGGAACAACATGGTTGAGTCAAAAAGGCAAAAAATTGCCCCAAAACAGAGAGCGAGAACTGGCAGTAATCCAGAGCAGTATTTGAAATAGGCATCACCTTATTTGTGTTAAAGAGGTATTTGTATCGGCGAAACTTGTCCTGGTAGCGCTTGAGCGATTCAGCCGCATTAGCGTAGACACGATCTATTTGCTGTACGACCGAAAGAATGACTTGAGATTTTGAAATATCCTGGAAAAAGTTGAAGTGAAACAGTGAGACATGATCGGGAGTCTTCACTGCCGGGGTGAAGATGCAAGTGCTGCGTTGCCATCGAATAAAGACCCTGGTAACTTTCACTGCGTCTCTGACGTCCTAGAAAAAAACATTCGAAAAGGTAAATGACAGGATTTCAAATTGGGGCAGTGTTCGCACAGGTAAACGGAGTACCAATGAATGAGTGTAGCCCGTAAAGGTGAGCCTTGACGCTAAATTAGGTCGTTCCTTTTATGGCAAAGATTCCCCATAATTCGTAGTTTATCATAATGTTCTACTTATTTCGTTATAGTAAGCATTTTTGCTTTATTATTTCATGTGATCGTGCATTGCAGTGCTTTTCGTACATTATGTTCCTACGGCTATTCTTGCATAGGGTTACATCTAGTTTTATTAGTTTAAGTTTAGTCTTTAGTTTAATAAGTAAAATTAAGTTCACTTTTAGTTTAGTTTTGGTTCATTTTACTGTTTATTTTCATTAGTTTTGGTTTAGTTTTCAGTTTAGATATTTTTCCTCACATTATCCTAGTTTAGAAAGGCTAGTTCGATTTTCAGTTTATTTTTTAGTCTATTATTTAGTTTCAATAGTTTTATTCTAGTTTAGATTCGTTTTAAGTTTAATTAACTTATTTTACTTAAGTTTACCTTGGTTTACTTAGTTGAATTTAGCTTTATTAGTGGCATACGGTTACTTTTCGGCTTAAAATATGGCGAAAAAACCTATCGCATTTATTTGCACGGTTCTGCATTTTGTGCAGCTCCGCAATTTGCGAATTACTTGTTTGCTATTCGCCCTATCTCTCATTTTAATTATGGTGCGCTTTATTTTGCCAGAAATTAGATTTCTTAAATATTTCATCCTATTAATTTCTACTATCATTCACTCTACTATTTAAATTTCTTTTTCTTTCACCTGATATGTCCCAGCTATAAAACCTCTATTACCATTGGTTCTGTAAGACAGAAACCTGAGGTTTCCTTTTACTGCGGTGTTACGTGCGAGGAATCGTTGCTCATTTTCGTTGCTTGCTGAGGTTTTCCCTCTTACTAGCCGGATCCGCAACCACCGATACAGTAGTAGTTTTCTGCCACTGAAGATATGGCTATGCAAATTTATTTGATCACCCCGAAAGGAATTCGAGCAATCTCGAAGAACAGGTAATCGGGGCTTGAATTAGATAGAATGGCTCATACACCGGTCGTGTTACATACGTTGTTTGACAGGAGGACAATTACTCGGTAGGGCGTTAGTGGGTAGGGCCGCCTGCAGGGGAATCGAAACCTGGCAGGATAAGACAAAGGAGAAGACGTTGTACTTACTTGTGTAGCCAGCCTATAAAACTCAGTTGGTTGGGGATTCCCCACAACATCGGTGCCCGATAGTATTAGATCGACGGAGAAAACAGGTTCAACCGCGGATTGCAAGAAGTTGAGATACTGATTCAAGTTCCTTAAGGTCATCTGCGGGAAAGGAACAATATTAGAATATCATAGTAGTGATTTGTAATGAAACTGCAAGATGGATCAGTAGGTCATGAAATATATTGAAATGAATGTGTAAGTTAGTGTGATAAACGAAAGGGCTCACTTCGTAAATGGTATCAAAGATTCGTTTTTCCCAGTACTGGTACATGGAAGCCATCTTGGGATGTTTTCCAGTGGCAGAGTTGAAAAGCATACCCTCGCATTGGGTCAGAAGCCTTCCAATGGATGCATGTTTCAACGTCAGATCATCGAAAAGCTTGTTTCTTTCGTCCGCCATGAACATAAACGCATTCTGTAAAAGAACGATAACCATAAGTTTCCCGCAAAAAGAGCATTCAAGAGAGTAAAAAGGAACTCTAAAGTCACCCGGGATAGTCACTCACCCATACATAGAGGGTGTTCTGCTTACCAACTCGTGAATGACTAGGCTAGAAAACGTCTGGGTTAAAGGCGGAAACGTTGGTTTGTTTCGGTGATTTCAGTGCCTGTTAAAGTATAGATAAAACTACTGGAGAGGGCATGTTCAGTTGCTGCAGAGCTATCAGCAGCTTCTGAGCGCCAAATCAGTGATCAACAAAAGACGGGACAGGATAAAAAACCCACTTTTTCGCTTCTTTCATCCCCCTCCGCTTCCCAGAGTAAATCCGTTCACTCTGGTAGTCCGATATCTCTATGCCCTTTTAAAAAGCCCACTAAATGAATTAG